CTAAACTTTATCGGATTTAAAAAAAACAACTTTTGATATTGCCTTAACAAAAGCCCCAAACAACTGTTCCATCTATTCCTAGATACCGGTCAAGGAAGTCACGTGGTAGCCTGTCCATGCTGAGCATCAGCCTGGAGACCATCCAGGAGGAGAGCGGCGACGCGTCACAGCCCAACAGCCCGTCCCCCCACGGGTCGAGCGGTCAGCAGCCGGAGCCGGCGCACCCTTCTGCGCGCACCTCCTGCTTCACCTTCCACATCGACACCGACACTTCCGGGGACGTCAGCGTGGGTTCGACCTTTCACCTCGGCCCAGCGCGGGGCGTCAATGACGTCACAAGCATAACCGTGAACAAGACGTCGTCGTCTCTTGACTTAAACCCCGCCGTCCATCTGAACAATGCGCTGAATATAACCACATCGTCCGTTTCCCATGACGACAGTTGCCATAGCAACGCGACGACTCGTTGTGTTCCGGGTGAAAACCTGACTTCCGGGGTGGATGGCGACAGCACCATCGTTCTCGTCGATGACGTCAACAACAACAGCGTCACCACTGACGCGGACAAGATCACCGAGAACATCAACGCGTCACGGTTGATTGAACACATTGAAATTAATGACTGCCTGAGCTGCAAACCTCCGCTCTACCTCGAAGTCACGTAAAACTTTGGTTAATAAAAACAATACACGGAGAAACATTTTACCTATGTATAGGGGCCTAAAGATGACATTTACAATTAAGGAATAAATATTGTTAATATGTTAAATTTTACTATTAATCACATAATATTGAAGTTAAATTTGGCAAACAGAATGTATATTTCTGAAGTTATATTTAACTAGTACCTACACTGGATACAAGAAGACTATATTGTACAGCCTCTGATTCTTGACATAACTTGTTATAAATAAAATGTCCTTACAGCACAATCGTAGTTATGTTATTGTAAAGCTATAAAGTTGTCTTAATTTATTTGTGAAATGTTTTAAAAAGTTGCATCTGAGAACATTTGAAAGCTTTTTTTTGCATAAAGTATTTTTGTAATTAACATGGCCTTTTTGTATCAATGACAACTCGCTATTGATCTATTTATCTGTCTGTCTGTATGTATGTATAAATAAATATAGATGTATAGGCCCAGGCATATATATATATATATATATATATATATATATATATATATATATATATATATATATATATATATATATATATATATATATAAGGGAAAGATAGGGTTGGTGCCAAGGAAGGTCAGTTACAATTTGGGTACTGTTGCTGCAATAAACCATCTACAACTGCATCCTTTTATAATGAGTACCCAAACTGGACATGCTAAGTACAGTCAACAGACTGAACAACAAAATCACCTGATGACTTCATAGAAACATATAAACCCTACTTCATCTTCTTTCTTGATCATTAGGGCTAAAAAATTACAGTAGTATTTACTTTTTTCACACAAATCTAAATTAATTCTGCGATCATGACACAACAACAACATAGAAGGTGCCCAGCCAACTTTTACTTCCTTGAATGAAAGCCAACCATGTAAGTATATTTAGGTTTAAAAAACAACAAAAACATAAATAGAATATTAGATAGTGTATGAATAAAATAATGCATTTATTTACAATGTATAAATAAGATAACAAATGTGTTTTATTTACGGCCTGGAATATTTGTAACGTTTCATCCGTTTCAGAACAAAAAAAAATAACTTCCAGTTTCTGATCACTAAACTTAACAATCAACTTTCCCGTCTGCATAACAAATTGTGGTCGTCCCTGTAGTTGGATTTGGTAAATAAATTTAAATGACGCTCTGAGTTTTGTCCTGTGGCGGAAGCTCCACTGCCACCAGCTCTACAGAGTTTGTGTTAACAAGGGAGATCCTTCTGTGGTGTCCTCCCGGGTTCCCTGCGATAACGACAACGTTCAGAATAAATCAAGGTAAAAATGCAAGGTGCAACAGATTCAGAAGTGAGGAATACACACATATGTTATATTTAAATATCATCATCATCGATTTCCATTTGTGCCCAAAACACATGGGGCAGATAAAGTAGAGTTCATCTGTTTCAGAGATCTTGGCGTATGAATGGGATAGTGTGATAAGTAATATGACCAGCCGCCTTTGCTTTTTCCTAACGTGAGTTAGGTACCTCAACAGAGCTGGGTGGATTCAAGCGCGCTCTACTGACTTGAACATGGATTCGAACTTGAGACTTTCAGGTTAGCAGTCCAGTTCTCTACCACTATGCCATGCCGCTCCATATATATATAATATATATATATATATATATATATATATATATATATATATATATATATATATATATATATATATATATATATATATATATATATATATATATATATATATATATATATATATATATAAAACAGGCAAACTCTCCTTAACCTACCCCATGGACATTCAGGTTCAAAGTGGTACTTTAAATATATCTATCTATATATTTATATCTTTATATATCTCTCTATCTATATATTGTTGAAACTGTTATTAATTTTTCAAGAACTAGCTCTTTCAAATACAAAATTTAAACACTGTCCATATTTAACAATTTGAATATAGTAGTGCAACTAAAAATAAAAATTATTAACAAGATGTCTTGCTATGCTCTAAATATAAGAGAGAGTAAAAATGACAGTGATGCATACCAAATATAAGCTGTCTTAGTTCTTTTACAGATTCCTCACTCATGGTCACTTGCACATCCTCAATGATAACTGTTTCACCAAGGCAACAGTAAAATTTAATAGTTTGACAATAGATAAACAATGATAGAAATACTACATGGGTTAATTTAAACTGTCATAGATAAAACTAAATTGATAAAAAATCATTTTATTTTAAAATCGTACTTATAAATAACATGCTTTAAAATTTTCTAATAAAATGGACCATTTAACATAAAAAACTGAAATTTTACCAAAGTTAAAACACGTTCACCAGTGAAAGAGATGTATCAACACTACTAAGCGTTTTAAGTCTTCTTATTACTACATTGTTTTGTGTCCAAGAATGAATAGGCCTACACTTTTTATATTTTTTTTATTGGTTATTAAATCTAATAGATGGGTGAAACCTTTAAATTTTTTATAGTTAAAATTAACTATCCAAAGCAAGATTAAGAATCTTCAACACAAATGGTAAGGCGGTATTGTTTTATGACTTAGAGACCTGAAGAGTTACCAAGTCAAATACTGACAGAATACAGCCATTTACCAATAGATGTCAAAAAGATGGACAGACAAAGTAACCATGAAGTCATATGGCCTGCCAAGGAAATCCTGGAGGAGGGCGGTAGAAGATGATGTAACGGCTGACTTGGGCCCAAATATATAGAGCCGCTCAAAACCAAGTCTGATGGAGATGTGTGGCTACAGCCCTTTCCTCCCGCAGGTGCCACAAAAGAATGTGAAATAAGTGACCAGTGGCTAACCACAAAGCAACAGCCGATTGACAGGGATATTTAAATCCCTGAGAATGGAAGAGGTTGAGATTGCAAAGCAAAAGTTGGACTGGAACTTCAGTGGAAAAGAAATATATGCCAAATAGAGCAATCCTGGAAAAGGAAAAGCAAGGGCTGCTGGATTTATGTGGGCTCAACTAAAGATAACAACCGAAAATAGAGCCAGTGGAGAGGTGTAGCAGCACTTTGCTCCTCAGACTACATAGGAATACGTTAAGTAAGTCAAATAAGTGAATGGTTTAAGGTCCTTAATACATAAAACTATTAATCAAGCAATCAATTATCAAGTGATCTTGAAAGTGTCATTGGTGCACGATAGTTCTCTATTTTTCACTTTTCAATTATTTTTTTCTATCTTTCCCTGGTTTTAGTTGGTCTGAAACAGGCAGCCCAGTCCATTCCTTGATTTACTCAATAAAGTTTTTTAACTCAGTCTCCCTAGTCTTTTCTACCTTCGAATATGCACTGCATGATTGTATCTGATATGCTTTGAATCATGTCGAAGGTCCATACCTTATGATTTTCTTTACAATATCTATTACTACCTTTAAAAACATTTTTATTTAAAAGGTTGATTTAAATATTAAATTATTTGACAATATATTTTATTCTCTACTAAATTTTTTTTTTAAAAAAGGTCAAGAATTTGCTTTAATATGTTACCTGGCCTGCAGTAATAATAATGGACAAAGCAGACAAAACAAGATGCAAGGAAGAAAATGGACGCTGATGCAGCTCCGAAGTGTGTGGACCCAAATGACTGACACTCTTTCCCTACTGTGGCTGAAAAAAAACAACAAAAAAAAAAAACAAATACCTCAATACTCAAATATGGCTCAATACTCCATAGTCTGAAAATCCCATAAAAATACGAACATTACTATATAAGGCTCCATAGTCTAATTGACCATTGGGTGACTGTGCATAGGAAATCCAAGCACAAAGCCAGGGCCCTAAGTTGCGAAGAGTCAGATGTTGCCCGTGTATCCGGCACCCTCTCTCCACAGAGCTGATGTACTTAAGGGACAGGCAATACTCATACAATGTTGGAGTTATTGTATGTCCTCCATTGTTCACATATTAAAGAAGAAGAAGATTTGGACATATCATGAAGATACTTGGTTCCATCACACTGGCTCTTCTTGTTGAGAAAGTTGACCACACACCTGGATATTACACCAAAATCTCTGACTAGTTTTTCAGGGTGAAGGAACAGGCTGTCTCCTTGACCCTCATTTGGCAAATAAGGTATCATAAAAATTTAAATATTTTATTTAAACAAGTTAATTAAAAAGTCTAGTGACATTTAAGCGCAATTTCCTTATGTTATCTAAAAATAGCTCTGTCCTAGCATAAATCAAGAGCAGGGTTAGTAAGACCATTGGTTAAAATACATGTTTTATTTACAATAAAGTTACATGACTAAAAACCATTGCGCGCCTAGCTACTGAACGTGATGACGCAGCCATTGAACGTGATGGCGCAGCTATTGAATGTGATGACGCGTGTGGTGTGGTTGGAAAAAATGCCTACTAATTCGGTCAAAATTTTAATTAATTCAAAAAAATTGTTGTGACCAAACGAAAGGATATTTTTGAAAACTTTCTTCGGCAATATTGTTCTAAATTATGGCAGGAATCGATTGGTACATGTTTCAAGTCGCTAAGTTGTCTGCATTTTTTCGAGGTTTTTTGGCTTTTCCGGGAAATCCATGAAAGAAACCCGGAATTTTTATGGCCCATGCTCATCCTCGTAACTTGCTTAACATAATTGCTTTTGGAACTAGTCCTCGATATTGCTTCGTTGAGGAGGAGATACGACTTAAAGCTGCGGACACACATTCATACATTCATTCATCCATCCATCCATCCATTCATCCATCCAGAAATGACGGGTTAATAAACGCAATTCTCCAGAATGGAAATTGCGCTAAAAAATAAAATCAATTACAAACAGGAAATTGATATGGTAAATGTCAGCATATAAAAAAAAAAAAAAACTAAGCCTATAATACTTCAAAACTACAATTAAATTCTTTTTAAAAAAAAATGACCTGAAAGTGAGGCATAATCTATACTCAACTATTCCTAAATAAAAATACCCACCTGCAATAGTTGCCATGGTTAAACATGAAGTCTTGGTGGAAATTACAGAAGATGCTGCCAGAGAACAGTTGAGACAGCAGCTAGCATGCAATGGATTGTACAGGAATACTACTCGACTACTGAACTGGCATAATTTTTTAGATGGCAAGTAAACAATTGTATCTGTGCTTTCCAGTGTCTCCATAAATGTGCCATTCATGAGGGGGCAAATTTTAACCCAATTCCAAGTAAACTGAGCACAGGGTTCCTGAAATACAGTACCACTTAAATAACTGTAATATATAGGGGGAATATGTATGTATGTATGTATGTATATATATATATATATATATATATATATATATATATATATATATATATATATATATATATATATATATATATATATATATATATATATATATATATATATATATATATATATATATATATATATATATATCAGAAGAAAGGCTGACTTAATATTTTTTAGAGGATTTCATAAATGTGTTACCAATCATGTATTTTTAGATGCATGACCTGGTTTTCTAAAACTAAGGTGTTTGGATGTACATAAAGCAGGCACTATATTTATTGGATCATAACTTTTGGGGTGCTGGTTTGTTCACAGAACCACCCAGATCTCCCAAGACATATATATATATATACATATATATATACATATACATATATATACATATATACATATATATACATATATACATATATATATATATATATATATATATATATATATATATATATATATATATATATATATATATATATATATATATATATATATATATATACATATACATATATATACATATATATACATATATATACATATATATACATATATACATATATATATATATATATATACATATATATATATACATATATATATATACATATATATATATACATATATATATACATATATATATATACATATATACATATATACATATATACATATATATATACATATATATATACATATATATATATATATATATATATATATATATATATATATATATATATATATATATATATATATATATATATATATATATATATATATATATATAGTATAGATAGTATCACTTGCTTCTCCCAAATTTGATGTCCACCCACATCTGACCCTGATGCCCTCAGCCCTTTCTTTGCACACAAACACAGACACACAAGAACCCAAATGATTATGATACAATACAAATCAAAACAGTATCCTTGATAGAAATTTTAATTTAAAATTTTTTCATATTTTTTTACTTACTTCAAACACACACTTTACAGCTTGAAGACTACGTTTCAACACTACCCTCTCAACAAATATACCATTGCTCCTATTCATTAACTGACCTAAAAAAAAACATGTTATCCATCAATTCAGCATCTAAACCTTAGAGTGAGGGAAGGATAGGTTGTGGTAGACTTAGGGCTAAACATAGAATTAGGTGATAGGTTTGAAACAGGATTTGTAAGGTGAGAGATGAAAACCAAAATAACCAAAATACTTTTTTCTAATCCAAATGCTATAATTTAAAAAAAATGGCAGAAAATTTCCTGCCTTTGCCATGGTGATGGCGGTCATCTTGGATTTTGTTTTTAAATAATGAGTCACCTTTTTCCACATTACTACTAGCCTCAAGCTAATTTTAGGTACCTAAAAAGGATAGATCTAAATTATTAATTAACCACAAAAGTACTAAAGTTCTCATAAAAGTAGCTACTCTCTGCCCTAGAAATCACTTAGTGGTAATCTATCATTTTAGGTACGTAAAATCGGCCAAGACTAGATCTAGTAATGTGAAAAAAAGGTGACTCATTAAATCATTAAATTTTAATAATTATTTCACATTTTTAGGAGGATTTAATAATTTTGAAAGTTACAAAAATGGGTAATCTATCGTTTTGGGTAAGTAAAATCGCCTGTGACTTGTAATAGTAATGTGAAAAACAGGTGACTCCTTAAATTTTAATAATTATTTCACATTTTGAGGAGGATTTATGTTTTTTAAATTACTATTTTGTTTCCTTGTTTCATTTATGTACCTGTTTTTAAACAATTGAATTAAAACTTTTCAGTAATAAATGAAGACTAGCAATGTTTCCAACAGATGCAACCATGCTCATTTACTATAGCAGCCATCTTGTTTAAGTTTTATTTTTATAAGAGATTCAGGGGGAAGCCACGCTTATTTACAAATGGCTGCTGTTTATATAGCAAATCTACTCGCAGACAGTGCTGTTTAAAGTTAATTTCTAGCCTATATTCAGTATATTGATATATTTAGCCATTGATTTAGGTTTATTAATCATTTATCTATAATATTTGACACAAACATATCACAATACACTCATACACCTCTATTAAGCCTTGACAATGAGGTAACGTTTTCGTACATTAATAGCCGCGGGCGATTTTACGTACCCAAAACGATAGATTACCCAAAAATGTTTCAAAGTATTCAAACTTTCAATTCATTCATGTAGAATTTTGTAGATCTACCTGTTTTTTAACAATTGTATTAAAACTTTTCAGTAATAAATAAAGACTAGCGATGTTTTGATCAGATGCAACAAAAAAATGTAAAGGTAAAGCTAGTTTGACTAAACTAAAAAGTAAAGGGGTAAAGCAGCGGTAAAGCTAGTCCAGTCACCCACCCACCACCAGTCACTACTTTCTATTAACTATTAAATAATTAATAATAATATTATTATTACTTAGTTAAGTAATAAAATTATTTTAAAAATAAGTACTTAGTACTTACTACTTGAGTACTACTTAGTACTTACAGTTACTGCTTTTGGTAAAGTACATTTGAAAGCAGAACTGAACAAATATCCAAGATATCAGCATTATAGGACATATTGAAGGATTTTTAAATTTACATACAATAATTATCAATTTTATTAATAATCTTATTATTTTTCTAATAAACTTGCACTAAATCTTTTTTTCTAAAAAAGTAAACATTATAAACAGGAAACGGAAAGGACCAAGTCTTTTTTCATGAATTAAAAGTTTCTCTTTTTTAAAAGAGTACAATGCCATAGATTGGCATATACCCAGAGCCGGCGTTAGGGGGTGGCAAACGGGGCGGTCGCCATAGGCCCCGCGCTTGAAGGGGTCCCGCGCTTCAGCAATGTCATTGTTATCTGAATTAGTTCGTAAACTTTAAAAAATTGTTGCTGAATTCAATTGGGAAAAACTAAATGGTCGAATGCCGACGTTGTTGATTGTTATAACTGAGGCCGCGGTTGATGTTGGTGAGTCCCACCTGAACTGGGACAGGCCGTAATTCGATACAAAAATAGTGTCACACCTCCCCTTTGTGTAGGGTACGGTCGCCTGGCATTTGACCTGAGCTGACTGGAGATGGCGGTCGAGAATCAGCCCACAACGTAAAGAGATACCCTATTGTATGCGGACCCATGAAGACGTCCTTTTAGTGAGCAGACGGGATGTCTGTAGTAGACAGTTAGTGCCCTGATGAACTCTAGTCCTGACTTTCTTGTTGTAGATGTCGTATAATGTCGTATATGTACAGTGTTTCTTCCAGACTTTTTTCTCCGGGGGGGGGGGGGGGGGGAAAGGGGGGGGGGAGGGGGGGGGGAGGGGGTGGGGTGGGGGGGGGGGTCACTTGAAAATTTGGGGGGGGGGCGGTAGATTTTCTTCGGGGGGGGGGGGGGAGGGCACTTGAAATTTTGAGGGGGGGGTAGATTTTCTTCGGGGGGGGGGGGCGGACACTGTTAAAAGTATATATTTTCTATATAAATTATATAAATTTCATTGCCCCCCTCCCCCCGAAGAGATGCCTGGAAGAAACTCTATATGTAGGCCGGTATAACAAAATTAACATTCAGTTGCGTGCAGAGGGGTGGGAGGAGGACGACCAGGGGGGGGGGGGCGCCTTAGGATTTATATCAGGCGGCATTAAACAGAGTGATTTATTATTATTTTTTGGAAGAAAGTTAAAACTGTTGTTATGTTGTGTCACCTTAAGGATTCACCCGTTCAATAATTAAGACAATAATGTTTTTGGTTTTAAAATATTGTATGAATTCTAAACAAATTTTGAAGTCTAAACTGTTTTGATACATCAGGCCGAGTTCGCTGTATTGTAAACTTTATTTTCCTAATTATTCGGCACGTGATTAAATTTTCTTAAGTGATTTGGTATGAATTACATAACTGTCAAAAGTGATTTAATATCTTGGCAAAGGAAAAAAAACTACGAACATTGGGTTAATACATGGAAGAGATGAAAATCTGTTATTATAGTGGAAAGTTTGACATTAGCTTATAAACTCCAAAACATTTGTGTTATTTTGTGCACATCACATTATATAGGCCTTTATACACACACACACACACACACACATACATACATATATATATATATATATATATATATATATATATATATATATATATATATATATATATATATATATATATATATATATAATGGAAAGGCCCCGCGCGGATGGTTGGCCCTAGGCCCCGCGTATTCCTAACGCCGGCTCTGCATATACCTTACCTATAATTTATTATTATTCTATTCATTTTGTATGGGTTAGGGCAGTTAGCGGTCTTCGTTATCCTAGACATGAGGTACATTTTTTCTTTCAGCCATTTTGCTCTGTCACCTGAAACTTCGGTGGGGGGGGGGGGGCACACTGTTAAAGTATATTTTCTATATAAAATGTTTTTTTCTATTTCGTTCTGAGAAGGGGTGGGGCGGTGGGCGTTCTTCGAGGGCAGTGGCCCTCTCTCCCAAAAGAGATGCCAGAAAGAAACTCGACGAATGGACGGGTCTGACTTTTAACAACTGTGGTTGTGAGTTTTAGAAAGAGTGACAATACCCTTTTACATTTTAAATAGGTAATGTTAGAAGCTGAATTTTGACGCTTTGAGTTTTTAAAGTCAGACTATTTTTGTAAACTGTATTGATTGATACCCTCAATGCTTATCGAGCTCAGTATTTTTTTTGAAATCGCTGTTTAAAAATAAGCAACAACAGAAATTGCTATTTTTAAGTGGGGGGGGGGGGGGATATGCTGAACTCAGTTCTTTTATCGCGAGGTCTGGCATTTTTGTGACTGTATGCCCATTTAAAGATGACACATATGGGGTTTGTCCAGTGTTTCTTCCAGACTTTTTTTCTCCGGGGGGGGGGGCACTTGAAAATTTCGGGGTGGGGGGGGGGGGATAAGACTTTCTTGGGGGGGGGGCGGACAATGTTAAAAGTATATATTATATTTTCTATATAAATTATATAAATTTCATTTCGTTCGGGGGGGGGGGCGGTAAAAAATTTTCAGGGGGGGGGTGTACCCCCCCCCCCCCCCCCCCCCCCCCCCCCCCCGAAGAGATGCCTGGAAGAAACTGAGTCTGTCTAATTAATGTTCTATACTGAATTTTATAGACCTATGTTCACGATCCCCTTTTAAATTTTATCTACACTAGGCCCATAAGTAGCATTTGTTGTTGTGGGGGATGGATGGGTTAAAAAACGTCATTTACGGACGATGATCCCCTCGATCTGCTAATCTAGATCTAGAACTCTAGATCTAGATTCTAGATCTAGATCTAGAGTCTAGATGGGATTTTTAGATCTATAAGTGAATGGTATTCTCTAAACTAGCCCAATAAAACTTTTCTAAAGAAAGAGCGTCGCTTGTTTGAAATTCACTTGCCTGCTTGTCATAAATTTGAAATTTAGATAACGCGTCTTAATTAAAGAATTATTTTTTTTAAATAATAAAACATTATGTCTTGTTTAATTATATATTTTAGAAATAATAATTCTAATGTTGCAATTCTCAATTTTAGTATACGACACACAAAAATCTGCAATCATTTATTTGACTGTAGTGTTATCTGGCCATAACAGTAGGCTGTAGGCCAGTAGGCTATCGCATGTTCTTCGTCAGCATATTACAACTGCACTAAGACGAGTGGATAATTTTAAAGTGCAGAAAGGCTACACTGGTTTCAACATGTCTTCTGAAAGTTTAAAAGTTGAACATCCTTATTTGCCCAAGGAGTTAAAATTGGATCACTATGTTAAAAACAGCAAAGACACCATCGAAATTTTAGCTACTTTATCAGGTGTAGCAGCAGTAATTCTCGTTGTTTCATGGTACATCACCGGTTTTCGGACGGAACCTTTTTGCCTCAAGCGCCGGTTAACGCTCTGTTGGTTTATGCTTTGTGGATTTATTCACACTGGACTTGAAGGGTACTTCGCAATATACCATAAAACACTTGCTGGACACTCTACTATTCTAGGAGAAGCATGTAACTATAATTTTCTATCATTCAACATCTAGATCTAGACTAGAAATAGAATCCTCTAGACTAGACTGTCTAGACTCTAGATCAGGGGTTCCCAACCCCGTGCCCGCGGGCGCCATGGCGCCGCCAAACGATTCGTATGTGCCCGCCTCTCACTATTCGACAGAGACAGAATTTTTTTTCATAAACATTATAGAAAGTTTGAAGGGAGGGGGGTGAAAATCGAAAGGTTGAGGGGGGTTTGGTGCAAATCGAAAGTTTGAGGGGGGGGGTGCAAATTGAAAGTTTTGTCCCCGGGTGACGGGAAGGGTCGCTACGCCTCACTTATCTTGCTATTTCAGTAACAACACCTGCCTGCTTCCATCCCCTCTACAAGGTCTAAAGTCTAAGGGGACAGGTAACTATTGCAGGCTCCCAAGAGTGTAGTTAATCAGTTCCACCTGCTATTCTAACCTCTTCCACCTTGCTCTACATACTCTAGATCATCGCTAAATCAGGGGTTCCCAACGCCACGGCGCCCGCCGAACGATTCATATGTGCCCGCCTCTCACTATTCGACAGAGACAGAATTTTTTTCATAAACATTATTGAAAGGTTGAAGGGGATGGAAATCGAAAGTTCGAGGGGGGGGGGGGGGGTGCAAATTTTTTTGTCCCCGGGTGACGGGAAGGGTCGCTCCGGAAGGAGTTTGTCGATTTAAAATAGGTGGTGCCTGCCAACCTACCGATATTTTAGAATGTGCTCTAGAGTAAAAAAAGGTTGGAAACCCCTGCTCTAGATCTAGAGATCTAATCCAGAATCTAGAATTATTCTGGAATCTAAGTCTAGCTAGATCAGACTAGATCTAGATCTCGATTATAATTATAAGGCTAGATTCTAGATCTTAATTTCTAGATCTAGTCCTACTTAACTTAGGCCTTTAGGGCCTACTTACTTAATACTTGCTACTTTAGTTAGCCTCTAACTTTAATAAATCTAGACAAGATTCTAGATCTACAATCTACAAGAGCATCATTACTTTAGACTTAAGTTTAGAGATGACACCTTGTTAAAATATTTTTTAGCATAGGCCTAATTAAATTTACGAAGTGACTACTCGGAAGATTTTTCTCCCCACTGTCTCCACTTAGTCGGCAAAAGATAGCTCTGCGCATGCGAACTGACCTATGGCTAGGATAAGGACTAGAATTTGGGTTAGGTATAGGTTAGGGTTGGCGTTAGGGTTCTGCGGTTGTAAACACACGTATGCGCAGTACCATCGAAAACATCACCGCGATGGAAAGTCGTAGTTTCTCTCCATTGCACAGGCATATCTTTTTCCGGCTAGCATCGGCCTTAAATTTATTCTCTTCTGGTTTCACCTTATTTGGCTGCTTGTGACTGTAGGAGGATGGCCCTGAGTCCACCAAGTTCACCAAGCTCTGATTGATCTAGATCTATATTCGATGGGTAGGCCCCTACCTGACTTAAATCAGAGAAAGTAAAGACGACTGTGCATAGTGCTGACCACACCATAACTTCATGTGCCGACATCAAGAAACAAATGAACTCAACTTCATCCTCCAAATGGATTGAGTAGGCAAACTCAGAAGTGGGGTGGGAGTTGGTATGCTGTTATTGGTCCTTAAACTATAGGCTTAAAAACATAGCTATTATTTATTAGGCCTACATTTAGTGAGTTACAGACCCATTTTAATTAGGAACAAAGAAAATTTTTTTTTGTTCAGTTTAAATATTTCAAAATAATAAAGAATCAGCCTAAAGATGGTAGTGCTTGTTGCAGTCAACGTAGAGTTAGTATAATGCAACACGTTTATACTAATATTATAGCCTAGCATTAGGCCTCCTCAGAAGTCTATATATTACGGTTGACAAAAATTGACTGAAATGCGCATTGTTTGTTTCGCTACCTTGTGACAAGTGCAAACATAAACAAGCAAAAAATAGAATTATGTACCATACCTCCATATATCGACAAACCACTGAACTTATTTTTTATAAAAGAATTGGAGATTGTTCAGTTATATAATTTTTATATCTAACCAATGTTGAATCAACATGCAATTTGAGCCAGCCATTAGGTGTTGGTGGAGACTTCCCTAAACTCTTCCATTTCTTTTTAGTCTCGCAATAAAACTGTAGGCCTAATTAAGATTAAGTGAAGACTATCCTACAGATGGAGCAAAAATTAAAAAAAACCCCAGATATAGCTGGGCCAAAGATTGTTTCCGCATATGGCCTAAGACTATCTCACTGATATTTAGGTCTAAATATCTAGAAACCATCACATCCCTTCCCCCACAGAATAGTTACCTGGTTATGAAAGGACGATATTCTTAATTAGGCCTACAGTTTTTGTGGTAAAGAAAACCTTGAACAGTATAAAAACTTCAAATTTGAAAAACAATTAATAAACAGTATAAACTTAATGTGTTTTAGCTTTTTAACAAGCTCATCCCTTGACCATCACCCCAGTACAATACTATTGCAGAATGAAAAATTAATAAGATTATCATCCCATCCACCCACTGTTATATATATGTGCCTGGTCAATTAAGTTTGGCCTAATTTTTGTTGTGGCAAAACAGGCCCTAATATCTAATTGATAATACTTTACTTATCAGTGTCTGTCTATTGGCTCTTCAGGGTTATGTTGTTATTTAGTATTGTTAATTGTAAGCTTATCTCAATATTAAGTAAAGATTCCTTTTGAACCATGGGGCTAATTAAGTAGGGTTCATCTGTTTCTTTGACCCCAGCTGATATTTATATTCAGATGCTATATAAATGTATTTTTAATACCAATACCATTTCAGTAAAAAGAGAAATACTGATCCAAAATGACTTACTAGGCTCAATCAATTCAACGCGAGAAATATTTAAATAGGCAGTGGGCTTTGTGCTTGGTGTAAAATTTGATCTAGCTTTTTTTTTTACTGTTAGTTTTTACGTGTTTATGAATCAATTTGTTAAACATTATGTGAAGAGCAACTTGTTTTATTTCTCCTCAGGGAAAGAATACAGTCGTTCTGACAGTAGATATCTGAGGTAGGTCTCAGTACTAACCGCGGGATCTCGTATTTTCAATTTTATCTAGAACATAAAATAAGTTGAAATCTAAAACCATTTATTAAACAATAGCAGTAGTGTTTATGCCTGAGATGGAATACTTATGGCATTCTGTTGTTAATTGCTCAAGTTGTTATCCTGAATAAAGGAAAATGGTAGCTCCCATGAGGTTTATGTCAAGGGCAATACAAATTCATTCAAATTGAAGAGACACTTGTTAGAGGGCTTTTGGACAAAGTGTAGGGGGTTGGATCAAGGGGGTTAGATGAAAAACCTGTTAATTTAATCCACTGGGCGCTTGGCTATTTTCTCAGGGACGGGGGAGGGTGGGACAAAACCCACACTATTAAAACTGTATATTTACTATATAAATTCCATTTCGTGGGGGGGGGGGGGGGGGTAGACTTTCTGGAAGAAACTCTGATTGCCAGTGTTATAGGAACCATATCTCTGTGTTTTAGTGAGTCTTTTCAGTGTTGTGTTTAGCTACAGAAATACCTTCATTTTTTTTTTTTAAATTTGAATTTTAGATGTTGGCTGACCTTGTCATACAATCATTTACTACCTACTAGGATAAGACTAATGTGATAAAACAGTTATTATATGAACTTGTTATTTAATCTATTTAGTAGTGGACTGTTTGTTGCAATATATTTTTGATGTTTGTTTGATTCTATCAATAAATAAAGCTTTTATTTTTTTAAACTCCAAATTCAATGTTTTTTTATTTTCAGCTCAGACACATTTGTTGTATGCATGGAAACGATCACTGCTGTAGTTGACGGTCCCTTGGCCTTTATTGCATTTGTAGCTTTTATGACAGGAAGCAACTACCGCTACGCTTGGCAGCTACTCCTCTCCTTGTTTCAACTGTATGGGGACGTCCTGTATTTCGCGACAGAGTTCAAAGAAGGATTCATTCATAGTCCAACTGACGTACCTTTGTATTTCTACTTTTACTTCATTTTCCTCAACTCCCTGTGGATCATCATCCCACTGCTGTTGGTTGTAGATGCCTGCCACCACATAGCCAACTGCCAACAAGTTTCAGATTTTATCATGATTAGTACAATAGAAAAGGTAAAGCTGGCCACCTCCAACAACCATCAAAAAATGCATTAAATCTATTTGTAGTTAGTTTTCTAATCAATAAGAGAAGATAGATTCAACTGTTATGGTCAGGTTTATTATGATTGTTAGGGTATCTCAGTAAAAAAAAAAAACTCAAAGTGTTTGTCTGTCTCATTTTTAGTAAAATGGCAGATTTTTGAATGTTGATTTTAACTTATCCCATCAAAAAAGTCACACTATTTTGTAATTTTATCTAATTAATTTTTAGAAACCACATTGTATTTTAATGAATAAGTGAGTTACTATCAAATATGCTCTTCATCTACATAGAAGTTTACATTGTGTAAGAGAGAGAACACATAGTTCACATTGTCTGATAAGGATATTTTTAGAGGCTCATAAATGTAGTCAGAGCCTAAGCCGTTAACCATTGGATTAAACATGTTACAGAGTTAGCCTTTTTTTTGCTATTTCACACAAGAATTTGTATTCATAATTCAGATGACCTCACAATTGTATTCCTTTTTTTTAAGCTTTGTTAACTGCTTGATTTTACAATTTTTAGAAAAGTAACCTAAATATATGAGTTGTTGCCCCTTGGCTTGTCTTTTTATACATATTTAGCTACTGGGTATTTCACTGTTATCAAAATACAATTACTGCAATTTAATACATATGTTACATTTACAATTAAGCTCCTCCTGTTTAACTTAATGAATGATGTTTCATTACCATTACCCTCTTAAATTAGGCTGTTGCAACATTTTTCTTTCTTTGTCTTTGACTTCCTTTAATTAAAAAAATAACAGTCTTTTAAAATTTTGTATATATATGTAACCATCCACCTTATTTTTAATAGCTTGAAGATCATTACAGTTCATAAAGTATTTATTTTTAGATAGTAAAAAATGAGATTGTTAAAAAAATCAGAGTCTTTATGGCCACCTTACTGTGAGGTCTGTTTAAAATATATATAGTGTATGACTTAATTTTTTTTATTGAAATGTCATGACTTTTAAAAATTACACTAAAGCTTTTGAACGATTCCAACACAAATTTTTTACAAAAGTAATACTAATACTTTGGGCTAAAATTGCAACAGAGCATAGCCCATAGTGGATTATGGTTGTAGCTTACACATGATTCATATTGGATAGCTAAGAATTGACATGTATAATAGCTGAAATGTTATTCATTTCCACTACATTTCTTTAACTGTTTCATTTATTTTTACCTATGGCTGTTATATTTCAATGCACTCAAAATAAGTTCTGGTTGTTATAGGGCAGAGAGAGGCAGCTGTTAATTTGCATAATGGTAGCTAAAGACAAATATAACCATCTTGTATAGCTTTTGATGATCAAGTTTTAACTTATAGTGAGTTGGACACATTGTATGCTTTTTAAAATTTTTAACCTGTTCTTAAATTACTTAAGTGTTTTGTTTTTAGATTTAAACTTTCTTGGTTTTACAAGTTAATTTTACTTCTGTTTGTTCATATATAGTTTCCCTTCTAATTAACAATAATCTTATTATGTTTGTATATAAATACATGTGTGTGTTTTATCTAATGAAAGCGTGAGCTTTGGTCAATTAAATGTATTTGACAGCTTTTACTTCAAATAGCTTTGTCCTTCTCGATTGCACCAATGACTTTGCAGCTAAATTTGTTTGCTTGGAAATGTTATTTTTTTATCTTGAACTGATCAAATGATGATTAAAAGTTAGACTTGTGTTCCAATGTTGTGCTTCTTGTTTTGTACTTTTATTTCTAGTTAGACTGAGATGCTGAGTGTGTGTGGGTGGGAGAGTTTTCATTCATTAGTTATACTCAGGTCACCTAATTGTCATGACATTGCTACATGGCTTATTAGTGCTAGGTCAGACATTTACCTGGTATATAGCTGTCACTGCCATGTTGAAACTTTTATATAGGTATCCTCAATGCATGTGTAGTCTATCAACACATGAGTTTACAATATAAGCTCAACTACAACATTCCATTGTTTATCCTGATCTGTGATCTATATTTAGAGGATACCATTATAAAGTATTGTTCAGATTTTACTTATTTTACTTTACCTGCTCCTTTTAATAATTATTTTTACCTATTTAAAATGGTTGAAGAACTGCTAAGTATCGTGTCTTCTGGCATGGAAGAAAGTTTTTCTGCTCTGTTACATATTAGCATCATTACATGTATCACAAAAGATTTACAGTTTTATAAGAGCAACACAAGCTATAATCGTGTACAATTTTACTGTGTAATCACATGTTCACTCAGAGCTCCCACATGCAGAAGTGCTCAGCTTGACACGGGAACCCAGAAATGCAGGTGGGGTGGATGGTCATGCAGAACTTGCCGTCAGGGCAGCCTCCACACAGGTTGTGGGGTCGTTACTGTGTGCCGTGGTGGGGGGCGTTTGTGGTGGGAAATACGAAAGTAGTTCGCTGAACTGGTAGGCCATTGGTAGCTAAGGCCAGGAGAGAGAGCTGCAACAGTAGAGAATTTTATTTTAGAATGCACATGTCAAATATTTAAAAAAAATACAATCTTTTGTGTATGAGAAAAGTTAACAAAATTTAAAGAATAGTCATGGGACGGCGTGGTCAAAAGGTAGTGCCTACGTCTGCTAACCCTAAAGTCTCGAGTTCGGAATTCGGGATCTAGTCTGTAGGATGTCCCTGAGTGGACCCAGTTCTGATGGGTACCTGACTCACGTTAGGGAAACAGAGGCGGTTGGATATAGCGCGGAACAAATTATCCTCCCTCGCACCCAGTATACCGAGGTCAGCATTGTAACAGATGAAATCTACTTCATCTGCCCCAAGTGACTTCTTGGCCGCAAACGGAATAAAGATTATTAATTTCAAGCATTGCGATTTTATTTTAAGCAGTATTTATTCGTGCAGTCACATGCGTCTCTAGGCGGGGGCGGAGGGTGCGGACCGCACCGGGTGTCACCATTGGGGGGGGGGGTGACACCAAGACAAAAAATTGCAAGATATATAGAATAAATATGTTTTGCCTGTTCAATGAATGGAGTTTAACAAATATTGTAAGTACCTAATGACGATAGCGGGGGGGGGGGGGGGGGGGGGGGGGGGGGGAAGGTGGTTTGGGGGTGGGCACACCATAACGTAAAAATGCAAACAATCCTACGCACAGCTGTATTAAAAACGGACTATAAACGCTTTAAAGCTTTTTACCGAAGGGGGGAGGGATGACACAAATTATAAAATTTACAGAAGAAGAAAAGGAGGGGTGTTACACCGTAAGGTGCAGCACCGCGTGACACCCGACTTAGCGACGCCACAGCGTGTACTGTAATATTAATAGAAATTATTAATATGGACCTGGCGGTCATTATTGCAGGTGTACCTGTTTCTGTTTTATTTGCATAAAGTGTTTCTTCCAGACTTTTTTCTTCGGGGGGGGGGGGGCACTTGAAATTTTCGGGGGGGGGGGGGCGCTAGACTTTATTCGGGGTGGGGGGGGCGGCGGACACTTAAAAGAATATATTTTCTATATAAATTATATGAATTTCATTTCTTTCTGGGGGGGGGGGGGTGGGCGGTAAAAAAAATTTCGGGGGTTGGGGGCTTTGCCCCCCCCGAAGAGATGCCTAGAAGAAACTCTGTTTGCATATGAATATGAGAGAATAACGCTGTCAGTTTCTATACCCTGAAATGTTCCAGTCTTCTACCACCCTCCCCCACACCCCATCCCCAGGTCTATCTCTAAAACTAACAATTTGACAGGGCTACACGATACCACTATATCAGTACCAGACAGTCCCTCTTCCAGAAATTTTAGGAGGGGGGGGGGAGGCGCGGACACTGGTAAAAGTATCTGTTTTCTATATAAATTTCGTTCGGGGGTGCGGGCGGTAGATTTTCTTCTAGGGGGTGGAGGGGGCGGGTGGGGGGTTCATCCCGCCCGAAGAGATGCCTGGAAGAAACACTGGTACTAGATGGCACTTGGCATCAACAGTACAACCAAACGGTGCCAGTCAATGTTACGTTAAACAAAAGGACAAAGCACATTTGAACTTAAGACGTTTTTTAATCGAGATTTCAAAACGAGTAAAATCAAACATCAACACGATTTATTGCATCTTTCAAGGTAAACGTCTAAAACAGATTTGTTCTTTGTTTGGCGACCCAGGAATCTTTGCGTCGTTCGTATTGTTGGTGAAATTATCTAACTACAAGATAGATGAGCTCTACAATACATCAAACTCAATATATTTACACAATTTTATTGCTACACGCTACTGTATATACTTTGGCGACATTGAAAGCATTTCTTTCAGACATCCGCGGAGAGGGCGCTTGAAACTTTCGGGGCGGGGAGCGACGTTGGTTTAAGTCTATATTTTCTTTATAAATTATAATTATGTTATTTCTATTTCGTTTGGGAATGAGGGGGGGGGGGGGACGTGTAGCTTTGGGGTGGGGGCAATGACCGTCCGCTCCACCCCCCCCCCCACCCTCCAGAAGAGATGTCTGAAAGAAACTCGTGTATAATGAACTCCTACAGTTTGCTAAAAAACTACAGTATATTTATGTCAAAATCCTCATTTAGTGCGAGACATAATAGGCCTACAACACCTCCATAGTGTACGTGACGTTTATTTAAAATGTGACATTCTCCTTGCTCACGTGACACACTATACCACGCCCACGTTGTACTCTCCTTATTAAACCACGCCCACCTAGTACTCTCTCATAATCTCGTGTATTATCGTCTTTGAAATCTCGCAGTAATGAACGGGATCACAGGGGTATCCTTCCGTACAGGTCATGACGATCTTGACACATTGCTGACCAGCTGGACAACCCCCACAGGGGTCAGTCGGGTCTATGGGCTGGAATCTCATCGTGTCGATGGGATGGCAGCTGATGGAACACGGCAGCAGAACCTAGGGTCAAAAGGTCACCATTTTAAAAGTCAGATTTAAATAGAGTAGAAAATAGCATTGCGCACAAAATGAACGCAAACAAAGTTTCAAATTGAAATTTAAAATGAAGTCAGTGTTTACCATTTTGATTAATTGCAAAGTTCAAGGCCATCCTCGCACATTGATTGTCATAGTAAATGTTTACCATTTAAATGGTAAACCAGCCTTGTGAATTTAAGGTTTCCATTTTAAAGGTAAGATTTTAAGTGAGGGTCTCACTTCTCAATTTTAACTTCAATGTAATTATTCTAAATTTTGAGGTTAGAGGTTAACAATGAAATTAATTTTTTTTCTATTTATTAAAGCAATTGATAGTACGTGTAGGTACAAGAAAGTTAAAAGTGCAATTTGCATATTTCGCGATGTACCTCAAAATGGCTGAAGTGTTGGTTGAAACATCTGGGAAACCCAACCCTAGAACTCAGCTAAAATGAAAAAAAATCTTGCTGCGCAGATAGCTCATAATGAGTTAGGGGTCATCCATAAATGACGTCACGCTATTTCAAGTTTTTTGATGATTTTTACCCGCTCCCGTTAGTCACACATCATCACAAAAAACCTGACACCCCCCCCCCCCCAAAATGACGTCACATTTCAGCTTACACCCACCCTCAAAATTGCAGTTGATTTTTTTTCTAAAAAATCTGTGTCAACATTGATTTATGTTGATCAATTTCTAATAAAAATAATAATACAGTTTTAAAAACTGAAAATAACGTCTAAATTAAGTCTCTAACAATACTTTTTTTAAAATGCGAAAATGTGACGTCACACTATCTGAGCCCTCCGTCTTCTCCACCACATCCCATATCGTCAAAAATTACCGAATCCCTACGAGTGTGACGTCATTTATGAACGATCGATTAAGGTAAGGGGTGAATCGCTAAAAACAGAAAAGCATGATGTAAAAATCAACCACACTTCCATTTCGAAAGTATTCGCATCTACACGTTGCAGGGAATGTGTAAAGGCTAAAATATCATTTACGTTATGTTTCTGATTAATGTATTAGTTCAGCTTTTCGAAGCTGACAAAAATAATTAATGAAAAAAAAACACACACAAGATCAACAAATATAAACTAATCCCATTAGTCTAAGCAACTGAACCTAATGCGATTAATATCGACGGCTTTGATATTCTGTTCATTGCTTTTATAAAAACGAAAAGTGTAATTACAATAATGTTTTCATACACGGAAGTAAAAAAAAAAACCAACACCTTATACATGCCAGCTTACCTATGTAACTCACTGAAATGCTTGATTTATTTTCTGCAAAATGATCTTAATCGGATTAAAATTGTTTAAGTTTCTATCCTCAATGTAACGTACTGGTTTAGTTGTTAAAAATCGAGTTCATCTGTTTTACTGGCCTCGTCAAGTAAGCTACCCATCACAGCGGGTAAAGACTCATGCCAGGTACTCATCAGAGCTGGGTGAACTCAAGTAAGGTACCCTTCAGAGGTGGATTAACAAGGTCAGGTACTCATCAGCAGTGGCTGGACTCATGCCAGGTACCCATCAGAGCTGGGTGAACTCAAGTCAGGTACCAGAGGTGGGTGGGCGCACAGATTTCTATCGGACACGAACTCAGGAACTGAATTTCGAAAAATTCGGGCTAACAGTCTTGCGATCCCCCGCTCCTCAACATTGTTCACGGATTAAAGTTCAAAGATTAAAGTTTAATCCACCCAATAATTTTTAAGATTATATATAGTTTTTAAAATAAAACTATTCATAATATATTACCTTACCTCAAAAAACTTGAAAAGTGTAGTGTCTCAAAATCATTTACGAAAAACAAGCATTGTTCTTTGAAAAAAAATATGAATATAAGCGAAAAATAAAATGCTGCGTACAAAACATCAAAATAAGCGGGGAAAAAATATAAACAAAACCATAAACAACTAGCCTGTAACGAAACGAATTAAAGAATGCGAAAACATAAATAAAACTGATAACTTTATGTTGCCTTATATAAATAAAAAAAAAGTAAGCTAAAAGTGTGTAAACTACGTTTTTGAAGTAATGAAGAAAATAGAAAAAACAAAAATACTAGACAGAGAGCTACTCAAAATAGGCGTACGGCTGACAAAGTTAACTCACCAAAACAAACACTTGTAGCTTCATGTTAAAACGATGTGAACAGTGCGCAATCTTTCCAATAAAATGAGCGATTTTTTGAAACCGCAGCGCTCTATAATAAATCTTATCAAGGTCGTAATCTTTTTAAACGTAACCCACGATAATGGCTTTCGTTCTTATCTGTAGACCCAAAAGAAATAAAAACAAGGGCAGATGGCGTTATCTACACAAATGCTTATCTTTAAGTCACTTGTATCTTAATTTATGTTCAGGTTGTGATGGGAAAACACACATCTTAGTTGATTCTAATAGTCAGTGGCGTACGCAGGATTTAGTAAGATCGATTGTTCTCTCTCTCTCTCTCTCTCTCACTCGATATATATATATATATATATATATATATATATATATATATATATATATATATATATACTTCCTTCCTTATACGGAAACCGGCTCAGAAGGTTCACTTCCATTAACCAGGCAGGCCTCAGTGTGGCAAACCCTACCATAAGACCAAGTTTCCCACACATCGGTCGCTACTTCCGTGGGCTCTCACCGGGCTTTCCTTCCCCACCCACCAGACGCAGGACGTCGTCCTACCGCCTGGTACCCAGCTTGATCGTGGGGGGCATTCCGCCAGATCAAAACCCTCTAGCTGCTGTTATCTGCCACTGGCCATTCCGCACCCACTAGGGGGACATGAGTTTGGTCGGACCAGTGGCATTATTCCGAAGCCCCGTTAAGGCCGCCGCTTAAAGTCAAAAGAAAGATCTGGCGTCAGGCTCTTTTGGTTCCCGGCCGTCTTGCACCTCTCCTCCCCCACGCTATTATGTGGGGGACTTGGGAGTCCGACGTACCAGGCTCTTCGGAAGAGCCGAACGCATACAGCAGTTCTACTCGGCCAGATCAAAAACCTCTAGCTGCTGTTGGCTACCACTAGCCATCCCGCACCCACTAGGGGGGTCATGAGCTTGGTCCGACTAGTGGCACACATCCGAAGCCACGTGAAGGCCGCAGCTTAAAGTCAAGACATCTGGTTAGGGTCGAGAGCAAAACCCTTCTTGGTTCCCGGCAGTCTTGCACCTATCCTCCCCCACGCTATTTAGAGCAAGCAACGGAGATTCGCCCGTCTAGTGCGGACAAATCTCCTGGTTCGCTATCATGTAGGGGCCTTGGGAGTCCGACGTACCAGGCTCTTCGGACATATATATATATATATATATATGCTAAATGGCCCGTTAGGTTAATAGTGTTGTCTTTTTTTTAAAGCCGCCCCCCACCCCCCGGAGAACGTCTACCGCCCCCCCCCCCCCACATAATGAAATAGAATATATAATTTCAACAGTGTTCGACCCCCTCCCCGGAAAATTTATTCCCCCCCCCCCTCGTCCTCCGGGGAGAAAAAAGTCTGAAAGAAACACTGGTCGCATTTGTAGATCATACAGACTAAAGGTAGACCTTACTTCTATAATTTAGACCTTTTTCCTACTTTTGGCCGCTTATACACCGATACACGATCCTTTCTGTAAATTAATGGGAATAGCAAAAAAATCGAAGGCTTTTAATTAAGTTAATCGGCTTAAACACGGGCAAATAATATACTGTCACACATGCGTACATACTCACACGCTATCTATCTATATATATAATTCTCTTCTGGGATCAGTTAGAAAACAAGCTGCAAGCGCGCCTTTGCAGTCCCCTCTCTTCCTCTCTATCACTATCACTACCACCCCCCACCCCACCCCCACATGATCTGGTGAGCGGTGTTCACTCTGTTTACATTTTACAATCATAGAGACGGGTTTGGTGACGGGAATTAGGGGCAGATAATTTAGTTTGAAACGATTTTAAACTTAGAGGAGGTAACTAAGAGGAGGCTGCTTTCACGTGGGGGGGGGGGGGGGAGGTTAGTGTTTTTAAGCAAATATTTTCAATGGCAGCATTGGTACTGTCGAATTCACAAATTATAAATTACTGAAAAGTAGAAAAAAAAAAACAACTAAATAGCGGCGTATGATACGCAGCGGGTCAGCTCGTATACATATAAATAGATACAAATCTATTGAATTTTGAGACGTTTTGAATCTGAAAAGAAAAGTCATATTTTATTTTTCCTATTAAGATCTTTTGGTGTTCCTTAGTTATAAAAGGCTACAAACTATTACTATAAACTGAAAATATCCGACATCTCGCCGTGCTAGAACTATGAAACATTCGTTTTGCTTACAGTTTAGTTAGTGCCTAGCTTCACGTTGATTGGTTTGGTGTGAATGATGCAGCGAGCTTGAAGAATTCCTCAAAATTTCTTCTTGACATAATTCTCCGGGGGGGGGGGGAAGGGGGCGGGGGTTGGGGAAGACTTGAAATATTCTATATAAATTCAGTTATGTTCGGGTGAAAGGGATTTGGGTGGGGGGGGGGGGGCGCGTTAGTCCTGTTTCCAGAGCGAGATAGACAAGGTACCCCCCCCCCCCCCCCCTTCCTTCGAAGAAATTCCTGAACTTTTTTTATAACTTAAATTTTCAGGTATGACAACCCCCACCCCCCCTCTCTCACACTTAACTCATTTGCATTATTCCACCTCATATAAGGTGCGCACAATCACTCCCCCCCCCCCAACTTATTCGCTTCAGCCTAAGTCATGCATGTGCAAAAAAGGACACCTGTTTTCTTTTTACAACCCTGAAGTGTTTTTATTTTGCGTCGTGGGCCTCACGATCGCATCACGTGTTGCGGTCACGAAGATTGATGCAGTTGATGACGTGGTATGTCTTTTTTCAAGTGGGAACCAACCAATAAGAACTGCGACTCACTCGTCTCATTATATTAGGGAGAGCTTGTTACACTAGTGCAGGGGTCTCCAAACTTTTCAGCCCGAGGGCCGCATTAACTATCAAATATCAGTTCGCGGGCTAGTTTCTTCCAGGTATCACTTTGGGGTGGCGGAGCCCCCCCCCCCCTCCTCAGCGAAGAACATATACCCCCCCCCCCCCCCCAAAGAAATATAAATTATATAGACATATATTTAAATTTCAGCGACTCATCCATTGCAATTGAATAATGTCGAAACTTGCATGCATTTTTCACTGTTTGAGCAACAATGTTTTCATTAATGTCTGCAACACGGCGGGCAATTGTATTTGCGCCCAAAGCTACATTTTCAAATCGTTTTGAATTTTCTGGGCAAAGTTCCTCAGCCACCTCCAACAAACATTTTTTTCCGTGGACAAAAAGATCTCCGCGGGCCGGATGAGAGGACATTGCGGGGCGCAACCGGCCCGCAGTTTGGAGACCCCTGCACTAGTGAGTAAGTGTAACGTTTTTTTTGTCAATAAAATATTAGACTTCTGGATTCAAACGGGAGATAAAATTAATTTAATAAAAATTATAATTTTTAAAAAATCATGCTTTTATATAATTATGCTCTTTTTCATTTTTTTCTTCATTCTTAATTGTAATGTTAAAATGGATTTCCCCCAACACAATTAAGTGTTACTTATCAAATTGTTATGCAGTCAAATGATCCATGGTAAATAAAATAAACTAAAATTGAAACCATTACGAAAAAAAAGACGGTATATTGTGTTACCTTGTGGGAGGTTATACTGAGTTACCTTGTGTGGTGATATATTGTGTTACCTTGTGTGACGGTATATTGTTTTACCTTGTGTGATGATATATTGAGTTACCTTGTGTGACGGTATATTGTTTTACCTTGTGTGATGATATATTGAGTTACCTTGTGTGATGATATATTGAGTTATCCTGTTTGATTATATATTGTGTTATCTTGTTTGCCGGTATATTGTGTTACCCCTGACAGTCATTATAGAGTCTACATTCAACTACATCCCCCACCTACCCAAACCCTTCACTTTTTAGACTAGTGTCATTTGCACTTCACCAGGCGTATGTACATTCTGTATCCTGTTATCTAATATTGATAAACAACCTGCGTTAAGTTTCTTATGAACTGATTGATCAATCCACCCGTTCTCTGAACTTCAGTGACGTCATAATCATACTTTAAAAGCTATTCGATTGGCCGTGACAACGATACCACTAAATCAGGGACCAGATGGGACCAAGCATTAGAAGTACTTTAAGGAGCGACAGTCAATGTGAGATAACACAAAAAAAAGGATACACACTTTTGAACTTTGAAAAGAATTTTAAAAATGTAGATTGTAGAAAGTGAAAATCGAATATTACAAAGGCAAGATTTATTACATCTTTCAAGATTCGTTTCAAAGTAAACAAATAAAATAGAACACCGTTTGTTCGTTGTTGGTGACCTTTACATATTTACGGCGTTCAATATGTATTTATTTTGTAAAATTATTTAAACATTAAAATAATTTAAAAAATTATTATAAACATATGTATTATGGAAATTTGGCTTATGCGCTCTACATGCTTATGCGCGATATATTTACAGCTGTATTACTGTACACATTGTCTTCAGACTCAGAAAAGGCCACAACATTTTTAAATAGCACATGTATAAAAAAAACTAAAAGTTGGTCCTGACGAATACAGAGCACGTCTTAGAGGTTTGTTCCTGGTACAATTAGGCGCGATCTCAATTCTAGCCTCAATATGCCTCACTCAAAGAAAAAAATATGTATAGGACGCCAGCAGAACTGGAGACCACAGTTCAGTTCATCTATAAAGTTCGACATTCATTCAATTAAAAACGGAGAAGAAGAAGCTCACATTTATATTGTATGTGAAGACGTAGTCGTTTCGCCTGTAACACACTTGTACATTTTGCAACGCAATGCAGTACATGTTTCTATTCTCATCCAGTGTGAGAAATTATTACACTTCCAAAGCCTAGGCAACAAGATGGTCATTTAGAAAATGATTCACTTCTTTTACTCACGCTGCACTTTTTGTCACGTCACACTATACCACGCCCACCTAGTACTTTCCACAGTATGCCACGCCCACGATGTACTCTCCACATTAAACCACGCCCACCTAGTACTCTCTCATAATCTCGTGTATTATCGTCTTTGAGATCTCGCAGTAATGAACGGGATCACACGGGTATCCTTCCGTACAGGTCATGACGATCTTGACACATTGCTGACCAGCTGGACAACCCCCACAGGGGTCAGTCGGGTCTATGGGCTGGAATCTCATCGTGTCGATGGGATGGCAGCTGATGGAGCACAGCAGCAGAACCTAGGGTCAATAGGTCAA